TTTATCCATTTCTCTGTTGATGGACAGTTAGGTTGCATCCATGTTTTGGCTACTGTAAGCAGTGGTGCAATGAACATTGGGTTGCATGTGTCCCTTTGGACCATGTTTTTCTCTGGATATGTGCCCAGGAGTGGGATTGAAGTGTCATGTGGTAGCGCTATTTTTAGTTTTTTGGTTTTTTTTGCGGTACGCGGGCCTCTCACTGTTGTGGCCTCTCCCGTTGCGGAGCACAGACCCCAGACGCGCAGGCTCAGTGGCCATGGCTCACGGGCCCAGCTGCTCCGCGGCATGTGGGAATCTTCCCGGACTGGGGCACGAACCCGTGCCCCCTGAATCGGCAGGCGGACTCTCAATCACTGCGCCACCAGGGAAGCCCTATTTTTAGTTTTTTAAGGAACCTCCATACTGTTCTCCATAGTGGTTGCACCAATTTACCTTCCCACCAACAGTGTAGGGGAGGGTCCCCTTCTCTCCAAAACCTCTCCAATGAGATACCACCTCACACCAGTCAAAATGGTTATCATTGTCTTCTTAATAACATGGATACCGAGGATGGTGTTCATTGTCTTTTGGTGATAATTAACGACTACCAAGCCTCTCAACTCTTGACTAGATTCTTCATAGAGGTGTAGAGTTGAAGGATACTCTTTAAGGCTTTATCTTTTCCAGTCTTCTCCTTCTGGTCTGGTGAGTGATAAATTCCTTCTAGCAAGAACTGGTCCTACTTTTAAGTGTCTCTAGGTTTGTTTCCACACCCCCTCTCCTCATCAAATCCTGGCCCCATTTTTGTTAAGCCTGTTTTAGTCAGCATTATAGATAACTGTTGTTCTTTTAAGTTAATGGAGATCTGTATTGTTCACCTGCATTCACGATTTCTTTGTCAGTCCTCTTTAGACAAAGAAGTACTAGCAGATGTCTTGTTGTTAATATTTAGTGTACCTGAAAGTTTTTATTAGTATTTTTTAAAAACATATTTATTGGAGTATAATTGCTTTACAATGGTGTGTTAGTTTCTGCTTTATAATAAAGTGAATCAGTTATACATATACATATGTCCCCATATCTCTTCCCTCTTGCTTCTCCCTCCCTCCCACCCTCCCTATCCCACCCCTCTAGGTGGTCACAAAGCACTGAGCTGATCTCCCTGTGCTATGCGGCTGCTTCCCACTAGCTAGCTATTTTACGTTTAGTAGTGTATATATGTCCATGCCACTCTCTCACTTTGTCCCAGCTTACCCTTTCCCACCCTGTATCCTCAAGTCCATTCTCTAGTAGGTCTGCATCTGTATTTCCCATCTTGCCCCTAGGTTCTTCATGACCTTTTTTTTAGATTCCATATATATGTGTTAGCATATGGTATTTGTTTTTCTCTTTCTGACTTACTTCACTCTGTATGAAAGACTCTAGGTCCATCCACCTCACTACAAATACCTCAGCTTCATTCCTTTTTATGGCTGAGTAATATTCCATTGTATGTATGTGGCACATCTTCTTTATCCATTCATCTCTTGCTGGACACTTAGCTTGCTTCCATATCCTAGCTGTTGTAAATAGAGCTGCAATGAACATTTTGGTACATGACATGAATTATGGTTTTCTCAGGGTGTATGCCCAGTAGTGGGATTGCTGGGTCGTATGGTAGTTCTATTTTTAGTTTTTTAAGTAATGTCCATACTGTTCCATAGTGGCTGTATCAATTTACATTCCCACCAACAGTGCAAGAGGGTTCCCTTTTCTTCACACCCTCTTCAGCATTTATTATTTCTCGAGTTTTTGATGATGGCCATTCTGACTGGTGTGAGATGATATCTCATTGTAGTTTTGATTTGCATTTCTCTAATGATTAATGACGTTGAGCATTCTTTCATGTGTCTGTTGGCAATCTGTATACAGATTGGAGAAATGTCTATTTGGAGAAATGTCTATTTAGGTCTTCTGCCCATTTTTGGATTGGGTTGTTTGTTGTTTTGATATTGAGCTGCATGAGCTGCTTGTAAATTTTGGAGATTAATACTTTGTCAGTTGCTTCATTTGCAAATATTTTCTCCCATTCTGAGGGTTGTCTTTTTTTTTTTTTTTGCGGTCCGCGGGCCTCTCACTGTTGTTGCCTCTCCCGTTGTGGAGCACAGGCTCCAGATGCACAGGCTCAGCGGCCATGGCTCACGGGACTAGCCGCTCCACAGCATGTGGGATCTTCCTGGACCAGGGCACGAACCTGTGTTCCCCTGCATTGTCAGGCGGACTCTTCACCACTGCGCCACCAGGGAAGCCCCCTGAGGGTTGTCTTTTCATATTAGTTTTTTAAAAAGTAAAGGTTTGTAACTATTTCATGTCTGAAGATGATTTGCAACCATTTAATATTCAGTTAAATGTTATTTTTCTGTGTTTTCTTCTCTCTTATTTTATTGAGATATAATTCACCTGACATGAGCCTCTCTTTTATTTTTAAACACCTACTTTCTCCTCTAAAACACAGGGCCTACCAGCACTTTCACAGGTCCTCCCCCAGGCGGTGGGGCTAGGATTTGGTAGCTGGTGCTGAGAGAAAACCCTTGGTGGCATCTTTGCCCTGGGACTGTGCCAGTGGCAGCTGTCACTCAATGGGACAGAGAGGCTGTTCTGTGATCTCTTATCTAACATTGTGCCTTTCTCCTCTCCTCATTGTTCTACCTTAGGAAAACAAGCAAACAAAAAACAGAGCCTAAACCTGGACTAATACTTTAAGCAAAGTAGGATTACTTTTCTGTTTCACTATGTTTACTCTGTAATATTGCTGCTTTTGACTCGAGTTATGGTTCATGGTGATTTCCAATTATTTTCTCTTATACTCATATCCAGCAATTTTATTTTTCTCTCCTAAAGATGACAAGGGTAATATTTTTCTTTCCTCTGCAACTTTAGGCACTGTGCTAGTGCTTTGTGTATACTATCTCATTATCAACTTCAATAATTTTGGCAGGAAGGTCGGCATTAGTTCTGTATTACAAATGAGGAAAGTAAGGCTCAGAGAGTTTGCATAACAGCTAACAGCTGGCATGGCTGTGCTGAAGTCCTGGTCTTTTAAATCTCAAGTCCAATGCTATTTGTCATTAGGCTAAAGAAATTGACTCTCGTGTTTAATGAATTCCATCTTCTTGGGAAAAAAATTCTTAGGATTATAATAAATTAGGTATCATTTAATTTTAAAAATTTATAATTTTTAAAATAGTGATACATTAAAATGGTAAGAATTATAAATGGTATACAATGAGAAGTCTCTTTCTCACCTGTGATTCTGTTTGTCCAGTTTCCACACTCTTAAGATAGAAAATGAAGATTAGTAGTTATTAATTTCTTCTATATTTGTCTAAATACTTTGTGTGTGTGTGTGTGTGTGTGTGTGTGTATACACACACACACATATATATTGCAAATACAAATATACGGTCTCTGTGCTTTCCTTTAAAAAATTAATTAGTAGCATTTCAGGCACACTATATGTATCTTTTGTTTTTCTGTGTGAGATCTTTTCCTATCAGTAAAGATAGAGCTTCCCTGTATGTTTTTATCCTGGCATTTACTTTCAAATAAAGGTTATCTTCATTCTTAAGCATATACTTGAAGTAACTAAACACATATGTTCTGAGAAAAACTTTTACAGCAATATTCCTAGCAACATTATTTATAATAGCCAAAAAGTGGAAACAACCCCAGTGTCCATTAACTGATGAGTGGATAAACAAAATATGGTATATCCATACAGTGGAATATTATTTGATAATGAAAAGAAATGAAGTATTGTTATCAGACACAACATGTATGAACCTTGAGAATATGCTAAGTAAAAGAAGCCAGTCACAAAAAAACCACATATTGTGTGGCTCCTACTATATGAAATGGTCAGAATAGAAAGAGAAAGTAGATTAATGGTTGCCCAGGCCTGGGGGTCAGAAGGAATAAAGAGGGACTGTTAATGGGCACGGGGTTTCCTTTTGAGGTAATGAAAAATGTTCTAAAGTTAGCTGGTGATGATGGTTACACAATTCTATGAATTACTAAAATTCACTGAGTTATAAACTTTAAAAGGCTGGATTTTATGATGTGAATTATATCTCAATAAAGTTGTTATTAAAAAGTTTTATAAGGCTTAACTTTTACTTCTCATCCTTTCAGCTGTTGTTCTTATCCATGTAAGTCAGTCTCCAATAACAGGACAGTTATAATCTAGAAATTTCTAATTTGTCGCATTGTACTCTGAATGAATTGAATTATTTTTTGAGCAGGCAATATCTAATTCCTCATTAATGTCTGTGGCTTCTCCCGGGCCATTTGGACACACAGCTCACATTGGCAGAGTTCTATCCAGTCTCTGACCCTGACTGCACCACTTGACTTCCATGAGGAGTCATTCTTCAGATTGACTTAAGTATAACATCTTCTTCGGGTATCATTTCAATTTAGAGCTGTCAGGCTATTTCTTCTTGCAGGAGTTATTCACAATTATTAATGAATTTCCAGGCTCCAGCTGAACCAACTCTGTTCCTATCAACAGACTGTTACAAAAATGAATTGTGCTCAGTCCAAGTCTGCCATCTGCCCCGAGTTGCCTCTTACTGGGCCCTGGAGCTGGGCAAATACAGTGTTTTTTTTCTATCTTCCCTCTCACTGGTGAATACTTCATAAGTGGTAATGGCTTTTCCCAAACTCTGTTGCTTCTGGGTTTTGTATATTGACTCTTTTTTTTTTTTCTGCCTTAACTTGGAGCGAATGGTAAACATGAGGAAAATTGGTAATAAACTGTTCTAGAGTTCTACCTGACAGCTATTTTCTTTTTGTGTAATCCCATTAGCTTAAATATGTGCAGAGAGGTTTTGGGCAGGAATGGAAAATTTTGTATTCATTTTGTTGGAAGGATTGATTTCTTACAATGAAATATAAAAAATAAATGAATGTCAGAAATGTATTCCTGATGGATAGATTTATCTCATTTATTCATGCCTTTTTTTGTGTTTACTTTTCAGCTCTCCTGCAAGCTTGTGTTCCCCATAACCAGCATGTATGGGTCAGTATTTACAGCCTGGAGGATCCTTGAAGTAATGAGAGAAGAGTCTGCGATAAGTGACTGGTTAGCTTCCGTAGAGTCATTGCTCCCTATTACCACAGCGATCCCTGCACATGTTTTTCTTCTGCTGGCTTACCTCCTTGTTGAAGATAAAGGACGAAATCTTCGTCAGATACTGAAGGTCACTACAGAATTTGCCCAAGCTGATTCCTCTCAGGTAAAGCAAGAAAATAATGGAGCAGTAATGGGGGTAAAGCTTAATATTGGAATTGTAGATTATTCTTTCATTGTGGATAATTTTAACAGAGTTTTAGAGTACAGGTTGCTTTTTTTTTTTGCTATCTTTATTTTCCCAATTTTTTCTTTTTTCTCCTTACTCTGAGTTGATGTCTACTTCATGATGCACATGTTTCTTTAATGAAAGACACTTCGAAAGAGAATCTACACAGATGCTAGTCTGTTATTTTTGTTATTGATGGATTTGCTAATTTGTAATGCTTTCATTAACTCTTGCACCCTATTCCAAGATGCATATCCCTTAGTTCTCATATCAGTCTTTTAAGGTGGAAAAATTAATTAATTCAGAATAAATGGGCCTGTATAATAGGAATTAATCTCTTTTTAACTTCTTGCAATTTGATCGTATTTTTATTCAGTCATTTAATAAACAAAAAAATAGTGGGTCGTTGTTTTATATGGTACTGATGAACATGCTGATCATGTACCAAATAAAACATGCTGATCAGAACCGTATAAAACAACATGTTAAAGATATGTTGTTTAATAAACATATTAAACATACTAAAGATAAATAATCATTTTTCCTATCTGCACAGTTCTTGGAGTATAATAAGATAACCATCAGACATTATTAATAAAACTCCCCCCCCCCGCCTTTTAAACTAACCATATATTTAGCATAGATATCTGTAATTCTTTTTCTATTGGATAGAATCTCTAGAATGCATTTCCTGTGAAGGGAAGGATTTCCTAACCAAGTAGGTATGGCATTTTTAATATCTTCTCTATCTTAGTGTCTGTGCTTGTGTTCTTTATCAAGCATGGTGAAGAAAAAGTCCATCTCTTTATGGAGTGTTCCTATAGGAAAAATATTTGGTGTTGAAGGTGGGATAAATATGTTTTTCTAGATAATGAAGTTAATGTATTTGCAATTCCTTTTTGTCCCCAACTTGTCACGCTCATTCCGTTTTGTCAGGTAAACAACTGCTATCTCACAAAAGTTTTCCCTCTGACTAGATTTCTCTGTCTGATTCTGCAAGTGGATCCGTAATGTATTCAGAGTACCTTTGTCTCACGTAACGTGAAATACTTCAGCTTGCTTCCTACTTTATTTCTCCCTTCAGCTTCTGTAACAATCCTAATTCTACCAAATGCTTTTTATCACTGTTGACACCTTGTAGGATTATCTCTTTAGAATAGTTAATGCACAGTTAATGCCTGGAGATTATCTGAGGAAGTCATACTGTAGGTTACCTGACCTATGTTTGCCACTGGTGTAGAACATGTGTTATATCAATGTATGTATTGATACTTAGGAAATGCATTTAGTCTTTGAAATTCTAGGGTGATCCAGGATCCTTGTAAACACTTTTCATGTGTGCCATGAAATGGAAAAAGTTGGGAAGCACTGGGGTGACCATCCCGGTTCATTTATTTATTCAATACATGTTTATTAAGAAGCAGTGCTATAAATTAAAGTCAATATGTTACACTTCTGTTGATAATTTCTAGGAAGTTTTTAAAGAAGTGAGAAAAAACACCCCATGTAATTTTGCTTGTTAAGGTGAATGGTAGGGTAAAATGTTGAAATGTAGTTACCCAAACTGATGCAGAAGCAAAGGCAATATAATTAATAAGAAATTACAAGTGGAATTACTTAAGTCTTTTTTTTTTTATAAATGATCCAAAGCTGTTTTTATTTATTTATTTATTTATTTATTTATTTATTTATTTATTTATTTATTTTTGGCTGTGTTGGGTCTTCGTTTTCTGTGCGTGGGCTTTCTCTAGTTGCAGTGAGTGGGGGCCACTCTTCATCGCGGTGCGCGGGCCTCTCACTGTTGCGGCCTCTCTTGTTGTGGAGCACAGGCTCCAGATGCGCAGGCTCAGTAGTTGTGGCTCACGGGCCCAGTTGCTCGGTGGCATGTGGGATCTTCCCAGACCAGGGCTTGAACCCTTGTCCCCTGCATTGGCAGGCAGACTCTCAGCCACTGCGCCACGAGGGAAGCCCTACTTAAGTCTTTTGAAAAGGATTAAACGAAGACTAGAAGTAGGAGGTAGTGTTCTTCACTTTTCCTTATGAAGTGACCGTATCATATCATTTCTCTGGCTTTTAGCTACAAGGTAAAACAGCCTGAAGAAGAGGATTGAATATTTTGAAAAAGTAGTTCTCTAATTGTAACTGCTTGGTGTAGATTCAATTAGATGAGTGAGGGTTGAGATCTATTATTGGAGGAGTGTTTTCTGTTTCTTTCATTAAGTTGACATGACTGCATGAAATGTATTGTTTCATGTGTGTTTGTCCTTTCTTACCTTATAAAAAGAAGGTATATTATGTTTAAGCAATCCTTGACTCAAATTCATGGGGAAGTCAATACTAAAGAAAAGTCTTAAACTACTAATAAGTAGATACTAAGTAAATTGGTATGTAAGAATAGGAATTTAGAGGCTGTCTTCTACCTCTGTTTTGGTGGTCACTTAACCTCTTATACAGAGTTCACTGGCCTGCAGTATTGTGTTTGTGTGACACCATAATTTATTGTAAGAATTCTACTCTAAGACCTTGTGAGAGAAAATATTTGAAAAGTTTGAAAGAGATGTGCCATATTTGAAGTGTGATTATGATTATTATTATTCATTCAAAGGTATTAATAGAAATTATTTTTGATAGTACTTATTCATAGTAATGCAAGTTATCAATATCAACTAATACTTTGTGTTAATAATGATAAGAAAATATACTTCTTTAAAAATGTGATTATTCTTCTTACTTATCAGGTACTTTGATGGATCCCCTTCCCCAGTGAGTTTTCATCCTTAGTCCCTCACCGTGTTCCCCTGTGGCATGCGTTTTGTGTTGGGTTTGATACATGGGCCGTGGAAGTCTAATGGAGCTAGATAGTCTGAAGGGAACTTGGCCTTGTGAGTACCATTTTAGAGTTAACTGGATACAGATGATGGTGTTAAAATAACCAGATAGCTACTCAAGGCCACAGCAATAAATTGACACTTGAAAAAAATAGTAAGGAACTTTTTTTTTCCATATCTAGAAATGCTGTCAGCAGTTACTGATAATCCATATAGTCTTCTTATCCAGACATCATGAGACTTAATGTGCAGAAGATACAAGCTCAGGTCAGGCAGCTCTCAGTAAAAATTAAGTGCCTTTTCTTTCTTGGAAGGAATGTCTTAGAGTGTTCTGGGGAGAGATCCAAGAATGAGCATCCTGTGTGAATTCCCATGGAAGTCGTGAAAGTTTTTAAACACATTGATTTAGTTTAGAGAGCGATTTTCGTATCATAGTCTGTGCTTATAATATATGGGAACGCCATCTAATTCCTAAATTAGTGTTTTTTTCTGGAAATTGCAGATGATGGATTCATGTGCTTTTTGGTTATGTTTATATAACAGTTCCTGCCTTTCTGATACTGTGAGTAATGTTTTTTTCCGCACAGTTTGATGTAAATCATTCATGCTGCCTTCAGAGATGCCTGAATGACGGTTGAAGCACATGGCTTCATGGCTCATAAACCGTAACGTCCTGTTGGGCTTATTGTTTCTTCTTCAGAGAGCTATTTCCCAACTCTGTGATTTGTCCAGATCTGGTCACATCTAGTTTGAAGTCAGTGGTAGTGAATATAAACATAGGCTCTAATCAAGGGATAATGTGAACCCCAGGCTTAAAAAAGGACATTTTCTAAATTTTAATTGAATGTTTTTTTAAAGGACAATATCAAATCATATTTTGAACCGTTATTAAATGATTGACTAATCCTTGAAACATGATTGTGGACAGTTTGGAAATGTCTGAGACTGATACAGCCTCCTTAAGAAGAGGTTAATAACCCTTAATCAACACATGTTGATTGACTTCCTATCTCCTCTTTCAGGTGAGCCCAGCACAGCGACAGCTCACTAATTAAGAACCACGTCTGGCTCTGTGACCTGCACTGTGTGCCTCTATAGAAACTTAACTGGTGATAGCACCAGTTCTGTACCACTTTCCTCAACCCATTCCATATACCTTGCTTCTAAGACTCTCAGCCAGAAACCTTACTTTTTCTTCCTCTCTTCCTAACTCTCATTTCCCTTTTGGATTTTTTTTTTTTTTTTTTGCGGTACGCAGGCCCCTCACCGCTGTGGCATCTCCCGTTGTGGGGCACAGGCTCCGGACGTGCAGGCTCAGCGGCCATGGCCCACGGGCCCAGCCGCTCCGCGGCATGTGGGATCTTCCCGGACCGGGGCATGAACCCGTGTCCCCTGCATCGGCAGGCAGATTCCCAACCACTGCGCCACCAAGGAAGCCCTCCCTTTTGGATTTTATGTTTAGTTCTTTGCCATCTCTGACCTTGGTTTCCAGTAATATCCCACCCATGTTCCTTCTGGCAGCTTCGGGTAAACTTTTCTCTGTGTCTACCTGGGACTCCCCTGCCTTCCCCCCAGTTCCCCACATTATTACTCTGGCCCCTGGCCCCTTGAGAAGAAAGGGATACTATTCACCTATTAAAACCTTCTCTATTGGCTTATCTATATCTTATCTTATATCTATTGGCTTAGTTATATTATATTAGCTATATCATTGGCTAATTATTACATAATATTTAATATATTAAATATATAATTGTTATAATAACCACTTATTATATTAGCTATATTATTAACTATAGCTTCCCTCTAGCTATGGGAATTGACATTTCTCCATTATTTCTCTAGCTATGGGAATTGACATTTCTCCATTATTTCTCCATGAAGCATTATATACTAGAGAATAATAGAGGTGTTGGAGGAGGAGTCTACTTTTCACATAGATAAGTGATTCTGCAAAAGACTATAGGTTATTAAATGCTTAATAGTATGTCATAAAAATAGATGTAGAGAGAACACCTGACAACAGATTATATTCTCTTTTGGAAATCCAGGCTGCTTGTTAGTGGTTTTAAAACCTAAGAAAATATGTTTTCTTTCTGTTTCTACCTA